ATATATATATATATAGGAGTGCTCTCTCTATTTTTTTTTTTTCTGTCATGTAATAATCTCAAAGTTAGATCAAGGGCAAATATGACTTTCTAAACGGAGTTTGGAGTGCCTCAAATAACTGGTCAAAAACTTCAAAGGAGCACCCACAACAAACACGGAAGACGAAGACCCCACTCTGACCATCGCCCGCTCTCCCTTATATACACCATTTCTCTCTCTTCTCGTCTTATCATTCAAACGAACAAAACACCGAAACAGAAAAAAGAAAGAAAGATTCCGAAAACCATAAAAGCATAAATCAGAAAATCAGAAAGCCAATCAATCAAGAAGAACAGAACAAATTCGAATTCTCGTACGCTTTTCAATCCAATTACGCAAAGATGTCTTGCTCCGTCGCGGTTTCCAATTCGCCTGTGTTCTCTCCTTCGTCGTCTCTGTTCTGCAACAAGACCTCCCTTCTTTCCTCTCCCGAAACCCTAGCCCTAACCCTAGCGCACCTCAAGCCCTCCCAGGCTTCATCATCTTCTTCTTCTTCTTCTTCAGCGCCGTCGTCGCCTTCTTCGCCGTTCCGGCTTCGGATTCCCAAACCTCCGACGGGGCTATCGGCTTCGAGTTCGGGTTCGGCGCCGGCTTCGTCGTCGCCGAGTACGGTCTTCAAGAGGAAAAGGCCGACGAGGCTGGACATTCCGGTTGCGTCGTGGAGCTCCGGGACGCCACCGGCGACGCCGTCGACGGCGGCGGTGTGGAGGGAGCTCGTGGAGATGGAGAGTGATGGCTACTCGGTGTACTGCAAGAGAGGGAGGAGAGAGGCTATGGAGGACCGGTACTCTGCGGCTCTCAATCTTCATGGTGATCCCAAGCAGGTAATGCAAAAATCCTCTTTTTTGTTGTTTTTCTCAATTTTATTGGTAATATAATTGCTCTTCCAGAATTTATTCGTGATCAGATTAGAAACTTCAATGTGTTATAGTAGCTTAAATTTTAGAAAAGAGAGACTTTTTCTCACTGGCAAATTGTTAAGTTGGATTTTTGTGATAATTTTCTACAGTTACAATTGCAGAAGAGTTGGAATTTTACGTAATTATAACACTTTTCCTGAAAAACCCTTGCGCGGATGAAAAAACTGTTTTTTGTAATTCACGTATTAGTTGGATAGTGGAAGTAGATAAAAAGTTTTTAAAGGATGAATATAGGCATGTTAGTTCTTTCGCTAAAGGCCTTTCGAACATCACATATAGTTGAGTGAATGGCTATAGGTTTGGAATTCTCAACCTCATATGCTCGAACTTCTTCTTTGCAGGCTTTTTTTGGTGTATTTGATGGGCACGGAGGTGCAAAAGCTGCTGAATTTGCAGCAGATAACTTGGAAAAGAACATATTAGTTGAAGTAGTGAGAAGGAGTGATGATGATGACGAAATTGAGGAGGCGGTTAAGCGAGGTTACCTGAACACCGACTCCGATTTCCTCAAAGAGGATTCCCGAGGTGGTTCATGCTGTGTGACAGCTTTGATTCGGAAGGGAAATCTTGTTGTGTCCAATGTTGGCGATTGCCGGGCTGTCATGAGCAGAGGAGGCTCTGCTGAGGCACTAACCTCTGATCACCGGCCCTCGAGGGAAGATGAAAGGGACAGAATTGAGAACTTGGTGAGAAGCTAAGCTGATTCTTCTATGCTCTTGTTTTTTCTTTTCCCTCGAAATTTTGTACAATACGGAAAGGTATTGAGACTGATGTTTACTGTGAATTTCTTTTTCTAGGGTGGCTATGTTGATCTTTGCCATGGTGTGTGGAGAATCCAAGGATCTCTGGCTGTCTCTAGAGGGATTGGAGATCGTCACCTTAAAAAATGGGTGATTGCAGAACCAGAGACAAAAGTACTTCAAATCCAACCCGAACATGAATTCTTAATCTTGGCTTCAGATGGATTGTGGGATAAGGTATGACGTTTTGATCAATTTAACCATTCTTATCACTCTAGTTTTTATACTCAGAAGTGCCATGTAACAAAATAACTTACAAGATTCTCCATTTCTTTGTCTGGTTTCAGGTCAGTAATCAGGAAGCAGTAGATACTGTTCGTCCTTGGTGCATAGGTGTGGACAAGCCAGAACCATTGTTTGCCTGTAAAAAACTAGTAGAAATAGCTGCATCGCGAGGCTCTTTGGACGATATCAGTGTAATGCTAATCAAACTAGGGCGTTACATCTGATGTTCTCATCCCTTTTAGATGAAGAAACCATCCTAACACATAGAAAAACAAGATTTGTTTCTGTTCAGGAGCGAAGAAAGGAACAAAGGATTTGCAATTCTTCTAAGCTTGCTGTTGGTAATAAATAAAATTAATCGGAAATATAGGATGGCGGTGTTTGATGATGAAGGCGAGGCGGTAGATATTACTGTTTTAGCGTAGACTGATCCATTGTAAATGGTTTAACCTAGTTGCGGCCTTCTTAGCACCGCTAGTTAGGACAAGACATTGAAACATAGTCGAATAATTTGGTTGTATTATTTTATTCTTTAATTAATTTATTTTTTACACAATACCTTCTGCTCAAATTGTGCATCATATTTCAGTGTCTCACAAGTTCACCTTTTCTCTAGGGGAGAACATGACAAATGAACAGCCGTTTGGTTCATGGGTTCAAATCAGGGTTTAAACCATTGATTTTGATTATGACTTTTGAATTTAAGTTTTGTGTGAGAGAAAAACACTAACAGAATCAAAACCATGATTTGAACCTACCCATGAAACAAACATACCAGAAAAGTTTGTTAGAAAATTCCTAGCAATGGTAACTGAATTTCCAAAGTGACAAGTAATTGATAGTGATGCATGATCTTTCCTTTGAGAAAACTAAAACTATTTGTTCATTTGGAAGTTTTCGTCTGCATGACAAAATTCCTGGTTTCCTTTTTTATCCACCCTTTTTCTCCGTTTCTCCTGAAGTTTCCTCGAAGGTGGAAAATTTTTGTCACTAATGACAGTTAGGAAACCATATAGGAGGGTTATGACTTTAAAGTGGTGGTCAGTTGGAAGGAAAGAATATGACCTTCTATGACCAAGTCTAGCCAGGAATCTAGAATATCTGCATAGCATTTTTCTTTTTCATGACTTAAGCTACTACTCATACAACTCAGGAAGTTGGAGATATTTTTCCTTCTAGGACCATTAACCAATAAGGAGTTCATATTGGATTTACTTGGAAAGCACACTATTAAAAGTGGAGAATGGACAATCACGTCAATGAAAGTTTGAAACTGTCTGAAGCGTATCTCCATGTCATAGTTTCTGAATTTATTTTGTCTTCTCTCTCTCCTTTTTGTTTTTTTTTTTTTTTTTTTTTTTTTTTTTTTTCATTTTGATTTCAGATTTCTAAAACGTTTCAGAATAATTGCAAATTAAATTAATCATTTAAATGGATCCATCCAACTACACGCTTTTTTCTCCAACAATCATATCCTTACCTTTAAAATCACAAAATTAACTCATACTACATCGACTATAGTTCTCACGTGCGTTTTATCATCAGGACTTTAATATTCATTAACAAAGGATTAATTTAGGTTAATTTGATGTATCGTGTACTCGTTCTAGGACTTTCGACGAGTTGGGGATCAAAATAGAATTTAATCTATAGTTTAGAGATTAAGAATATGATCAGCCCTTCTTTGTTCTTTATCCTCGGGAAAGTTTTTGAATTTACTGCCTTAGTTCTACTTGTTCGCTTAACTCCATCAATACAACCTTAGTTTTACTCGAATCGGTGAAATGAACGGGACATAAGTGTTATGTGTAAAATTTTTATGAAGTGTACATATTTAATTTGGAGGACAAGAATAGAGAGTCGGAGACGGAAAAAAAGGGTCAGGGGAGGATTAAAGAAATGGAAAGCTAACAAATTACTTAGAGAAGGGGATTAAAGCAAAGCATTAACACCTAATGACACGAATTAACATCTAACACCTAGTTATACCTAATGATGCTAACAAATTACTTAGAGAAGGGGATTAAAGCAAAGCATTAACACCTAATGACACGAATTAACATCTAACACCTAGTTATACCTAATGATAGAAGCTTTTGAAGATTATTGTGGATTCTTCATAAGATTCTCTAAATTTCATTTGATGTTTCATCCTATCTAGAGAAAGTTAAAAGGTAAGAATTAAGATATAGTTATGCATCACAAGTTACTGCTCACCTTTTATATTTGTTGGTGATTCTGTTTCCAATTCTCAGTCTAGAGCTGTGTGAACAGAAAGTTATCGCAGTTAGTCCTTTTCCAATTTTACTTAATTTGAAAAAAAAAAAAAATCTGAAAGAACAATGAAATGCCATATTGAGTAGAAAATTGAAAAATATGGATATTCGACCTATACTAGCTATGTAGCCCACCAAATCCTTATAATAATATACAATATGATAATGATGAGATGAATAGAGAGTGTTGCTGCCGACCACTTCCACTTGATTTGGTTGTTACCGGCAGATCACATATTTGGCCTAAACATCATTATCACATACCAAGGAAGTATCCAACAGAAACATAATAAACAAAAAAAATAAATAAACACACACACACACATATATATATATATAGATATGTATATAATATAAAAGGACAAAGCGACATGGTCAGCTGTCTGTAAGACCCTCAACACATAAAAAATGATCCAAAAAATAGCACATGTATAAGACTAGCTGCCTCTGGCTCCACCCACATAACACGTTTGTTATACCACTAGTAAAGGGGCATTTCCTAGCTAGAACGGGGCAATTTGGTGTTATTTGATTGTCATGTTTTGTACCACGTTATGTGTCATGTTGTTTTACTGCCTTATTTCTTTATGTACCAATCTTCCATCCACTTGATATATATAATGTTATTATTACTAAGGACATCTACGTTTGCACTATGTTTGGTAGGATCGAAAAGTGGAAGTAAGACGGTAGATACACTTTTTCGTGGAAGTTGAGAAAGTAGATTAACAGGTAACAACAATTATTTGAAGGATAAGAAATTACGGAAGATTAAAATCTTTGTCGAACCCACGATTTTTAATTTCTCCAAACCATTTTCACATGGCCATACCAAACATTTAATTTATAAAAAGTATATTATCATTATTTCCTTCCTATCATCCAAATAAATAATATAAAGATCCAAATAAACAATACAAAGGAAAAACAAAATCTCTCTATCTCTTACATTTTTACACCGTCTTGTTTTCCTTTTTTCCTATCAAACACATATATAATATATGTTAATTTCTTTCACAAAATATATTCATAATTAAGAGAAAAATCTTACACACCAAAATTAAAACCTCCGAACATGCATTGTATATGACCAAAATATATCCCATCGTCACGCCAGCAATTATTTTCTTCTTGATGTAATACTTGGAACCTGATTTTTTTTTTTTTCCTTTTAATCCTTTATTTGCTCTTATTTAGCTGTCTTTATTGACAGTACCTTATTACTAAATTTATCAAAGATATTGCACGGCATTCACGATATAGATACAAAACATTGGACATGCAATAAATTTGGATTCTAGCAATTTTAACAACTGGGGTTTGGTTTTGGGTTAATATGCATGAACCTCAAGAGATAAGAAAGCCTAACAACATATAAGAAAGTGGAGGGAGCGAGGTTTTCATGTCAGCCCCACAAGGTTGGAACACTTGAGTTTAATCACGTTGGACTTGTCGGCCGTCTGATTTATTTGTGTCGTTTTTTTGTCTTGCACTCCAACGACATTAGCCCCATAGCACCGACTTGTTGCTTTCAGGACAAAAACTAACCTCGTAATTTAGGGAGCGTTTGGTAGAGGAATTCGTTCCCTGATTCGAATCATAATTCGTGGTTCGTTACAGTATTTTCTCTCATAAAAAATACACGTAAATCGAAAATGATTCGAATCACATGGTTTAAATCCTCTAACCAAACGAACCCTTATTATGCTTCCTTAACAAATACAATATTAATCAGAAATTACAATATTAATAACACACAATTATAAGTACTCCATACTGAGTAGTTATACCCATAGCCTATGTGTGTGGCTAATAATTTATGATTATTCCTCTTGGCATTTAAGAAAATAAGTAAAAACTTCATTAGCTTCGTTAGATTCATCGTACGGAATATAAATAAATCTACCCAATAATGAGGTCAATGATCCTTTTCCATCTTTTTGTTTCCTTAACAATTAATTAAAATATTTAATTCCACACTAAATTTTTAACAAAAATGGGATAAAGATGGATACAAGTTTTGCGTCACGTTATTAGTGAACGGTAGTACCCATGCAAATGTATCATATTAGGCAAAGAGGAACAATGATATTGACAATTAGCCTTTGATGATTTTGAGCCACGTGGTTATTTCCACGAGAAATAATCCATTTTAATTATCTCGTCATTTTCTTTCCCAAAGCAAGTACCAAAAGAAATATGGATGTTTCTTCTTTCCTTCTTCCTCGCTCATATTATATGCGTATTCAAGTTTACGTGGACATACTCAAACCTTCTTTTTCCCTTTGTCCTTGCGTAAGAAATTGTCCCAGCTTATCCTATTCTATTCCAACCCCTTTCGTAGTTGTGCCAGCTTGTACTGAACAAATTAACGCCTAACGTGGCAACCATATATGCAATTTTGTAAAATACACACTCAACGTGTCATACCCTAATCTGTTTTAGTAGGCGGATTATTAATGTATATCATATATAGTAACGGAAGACATAACGTGCGTATTTGGAAAATAATTTTTACGTATTTCAAGTAATAACGTTTGTTTAATATATATTTTAAAAATAAAAATAAAAATAATAAATAATAAAAATAATTTTTGTAAAAAAATTAAAAAATAGTTAAAAATTTTCACTTTTTCATTTTTATTTTTTAATACTTTTCAACAATATTATAATATATTAATTAATAAATACGATTTCACTTTTTTATTATATTCAAAACAATTTTTTTTAAAAAAAAACTAACTAAACGTAATTTTAAAATCGGTATAAAAATGATTCTCAAAATAATCTAATTTTTACTTTTTATTAAAAATAAAATTATTTTAAAATCAATTCCAATCGCACTTAATATTTTTTTACCCTTTGAGAAGATGGTTAAAAAGAAAAAAAAAAAAAAAAGGATCTTACACCATGACTTGCTGTTTTTCTTCGAAGAAATTGTTGTTTTAATCGTTAGTTAATTTTTAACAACGCCACAAATGTATATTTCTACTCCTACTCGTATATTTGATCGCGGAAATTTAACGACTAAATCAGTAGTTTCTATTAATTGGTAGGGTAACACAGCATTTCTTATCATAAGAATTCCTATTAAAAAAAGGATTTAAAAAGTTGGTGTCTTTTTGGATTTTGGGGAGACTTTTAGATTGCGGCCACTCATTTGCAAATTAGGAAGCTGGGAAAAGGTGAACTGTCGAAGGCCGCATAATGGGTTGATGTTAGGGTGTCCGTGATCTTTTTTAGAAGATACGAATTTAGATATGGAAAGTGGGGCTGTCCCTTTCGTCAATTGTCGTTTTGCCATGCAAACCAATTTGCCCAATTGTATATCATTTTTCGCTTATCAATAAAATATAAGGACGTTTAGTTCGTTAATTTAAGTTTTTAATTTGAGTTGAAATGTGACTTTATATGAGAGTTTTTTACTGTAGTAAAAAAGTTAGATATAATTATTTCTGAACGTTTTTTACTGTAATAAAACTCGAATTCTAAACTCGAATTGATAAAATAAACGGGACTTATCTCTGATCAAAAATATTTATATAGGAATAGTATCCAGCCATACACTTAGAATAATGTCTGACCGGTCAGCACTATTTACTACGATCGTTAGATGTGAATTTTATGGCCTTGATTTAAAGAGAAACTGTGTTGGCTTGCTGGTAAAGTAGAAGGGCATACTAAATTTATAGGTCAGATGAATTTAATAATAAAAAATTTGACAGAAAGACTTTAATAATGTAAAGTTGAAAACGAAAAAGAATAATAGACAAAGGAACTAAAAACGCATATCGTTTTCGGACGTGTAGTTGTTTTCTTCTTTGTTACTCTCATAAAGTGTGAGTCTATTCGTGTCTGTACATTTCAATCTCCTTCTGTTCGTAGAACCTAAATTAATTTATGTGGCGATAATGTGGTTGGGCGGTGAAGAAGAAAACCTGTAGAAGACATCCACAATCCTCTAGAAGTGTTACAATTATTCCAACATAAGTGGTAAGCGATAAATTTCACTCCTTTAGAAAACATACACACTTATATATTATAATCCTCACAACCGTGATTATTGGACCATTAGCAATTGTTCTGAACTATCCAAACCCGTGTGCTTTGAAAGTCATGCCACGAGACGGGTTACTCCTTTACTAATGCCACATGCGCCGCATTATTATTTCAGAAAAAGATATATTATAAATCTCAAACGGTGCTTTATAAGCCTAGGTATTTGTATCACTATCTACTCCTCTTCACTGTTAAAAATATAAACACACTCAGGTTCTGTTTATTTCACCGATTCGAGTTTAAAATTTGAGTTTTATTACAGTAAAAAGTTCTCAGAAATAATCACATTTAACTTTTTTACTACAGTAAAAAGCTCTCACATAAAGTTACATCTCAACTCAAATTAAAAACTCGAATCAGCGAACTAAACGGACTCTCAATGTCTCGCTCCATCTCCCCACCAAGCGGTGAACCATCACCATTTTCCACCCCTCCTCCGTCCCAACACCCGGACAACGATCCACTCGAGGTCATAAACAAGCTAATAGATGATTTGTGTTAAATTACTACTACAGGCTTTCAGACTTGTCTTAAATTACTAATTTCATCCTCCTTACTTGTTCAGTATTCTTATCTTTTGCTCATACTTATTCACTCTATTTATTTTGTTGCTCTCGCTTGTAATACCTGCTTCTTAGTAAAGCTCGATTACTCATAAATTTTGATATTCATAAACCATGCATTTTAACATAAGGTTGCCACGTTTATTGTCTCTCCCAAATTCCAAAAAAAAAAAAAGGCAGTCCATTTACGAATAAATAACCACAATCTCACTAATTGTACATCTTACCTCATTATTTATTCACTTATTTCAAATTCCGGATATATGTATGTACAGTAAATATACATTGTCGTTTTTATTAGGCTTGCGCTTTTCCAATTCTACTTTGATGTAGTTTTAAACACATGGCATTTAACAATATTGCTCCTTGAATATGATACAAAATTTTCACCTGCAACAATCCTAACAACATATGCAGCTGTTACTCAGTCACAAAGAACCAAGTTGTCACGGTCTATTATTTTACAACACGTTACGCCCATGTAAATAAACTAACACAAATATTATAGGTGGAGATTTAATCTCTTTAGGCCTCGTTTATGTAACCGATTTGAGTTTATAATTCGAGTTTTTTTACAGTAAAAAATTTTCAGAAACAGTTACATTTAATTTTTTTACTATAATAAAAATTTCTCACATAAAATTACATCTCAACTCAAATTAAAAATTTAAATTAATCAACTAAACGAGTCCTTATATAATGATTATAATATCTGATGGAGGCTGGTGGTGCACGTCAGCAGAGACACTTGAAGTGGAAAAACTCTCTTCTTGCTGCCACTTATTACTTGTAGAGAGAAATGCCCATACCTAAATCCTTCTTCCACTTCTGCTATAGCCTCAAGTTCTCTGTTTCCCCTACGTGGACCTACCTCCTTTCACCACGTGGACCTATGGACCCCACATTCAGTTCTTCTCATACCGGTCGGTTGTCTACCTTGTAGTGCTATTCTTTTATTAAAATATTAATATTTTGTTCATTTTATCAGTTTAAAATTTAAATTTTTACAGTTAAAAATTATAATATATTTTTTTATTATAGTTAAATTTTTTAAAAAATATCATATTTAAATTTAAATTAAAAAATTAAATATGCAAAACGAACGCCTATTTTCCATTTCTTAATAAAAAAATAAAAAAAACTTTTTTTTTTTACCATTTGTAATTTGTGCTCTCTTGTTACATAGAGCGCGCGGCTGCATGAAATACAATGAATGCCAACAAATTCTTCTAAAAATCCTATTCATTGGGGAGATATTTACTGCAAATTATATCATATTTTACATTCGTTATTATCTTCTAGGACTTTTTCTTGAATCCCCACAGAATCCCGTATTCTTAATAAAATATTTTTAAGATCTAAGATAACGATTATTTGAATAGCCTGCCATATTAGCAGTGCATAACTCGATGTTTCATACTATGTAAAAATAAGGACAAATAAGAGTGTTTGATATGAGAATTTGTATCATAATTTATAATTTATTATAGTATTTTTTCTCATAAAAAATTTATATAATTAAAAATAATTTTAAATTATGATTTTAAAATTCATAAAATAAACGTTTGCAAATTAAGAAGCCAGCAAATCCAAAGGGCAGGATCTTGTAACGGACCAAAGAAGTTTTTGCCTCCACGATCCCCAAATTCACTTTTGCTCTCAGCCACGAAAAAAAAAAAAATAACAACAACAATATTCCCATTCGCTATTACTCATTACCACATGTCGCAATTCTCATGCCAGGAAACCAGTTACTCCTTTTGACAAAGACAAAACCTCCGAAAAAAATTTAAAATAAACATGTGAAATTACGTGGCAGCTCATAAACGGTCCAGATCAAATCTCAGAACACACATGGTGGATAAGGATAAAACTCCGTATCTTTTCCTTCCACACTATATCCCGTTCACGTCAACACATAACATAACCAAAAGAAAAGAGTTGGTGTAAACCCAGAAACCAGAACTCTCTAGCCGTAACGTCACCGAAACTTTTTTATCTTTTTTCTTTCAGATTATCCATTTGGAAATTCCAGGTCAGCCCCACACAGAAAAATAAAAAGAATAAAACGAATTTAAATTTCGAGGTTTCCCACGCCTAGTATAAATAGCTACTTGGCCCCAGAAAAGAAGCATACAGAAAATACCAATTATTCAAACAACTTCTTTGCGGAGAGAGAAGAACCAACTTTCTGAGATGGAAAAAACAGTGAAGAAGCTTCATTCTAGCTCGGTTTCATGGGTCAGAGGGAAGTGTATAGGAAAAGGTTGTTTCGGCACGGTCAGCCTCGGGGTCGACAAATCGGACGGTCGAGTTTTCGTCGTCAAGTCAGTCGATCGCGCCACGTGTCTTCCCGCTCAGCTGGAGGCTCTCGAGAACGAAATTCGGATTCTCCGGTCGCTCTCCGACGGTTGTCCCTACGTCGTCAACTACCTCGGCGACGACGAATCCCACGAGACGACGTCGTACTACAGGAACCTCCACTTGGAGTACTTGCCACGTGGCACGCTCGCTGACGTGGCCCCGATCTTCGACGACGAGGCGGCCGTACGGTCGCTCACGTGGTGTCTTGTGTCGGCTCTCCGGCACGTGCACTCCCGGGGAATTGTTCATTGCGACGTCAAGGGTAAAAACGTCTTATTGGGTCCACTCCCCGGCCAAGCCAAGCTCGCCGATTTCGGGTCGGCTAGGGAGATCTCCTACGGGTCATTCGGAGCTCCGATGTCGCCTCGAGGAAGCCCGCTTTGGATGGCGCCGGAGGTGGTTCGCCGGGAGTCTCAGGGGCCGGAGAGCGACGTCTGGTCGTTGGGATGCACGGTTATCGAGATGATCACGGGGAAGCCGGCGTGGGAGGATTGCGGTGCTGAAACGTTGAACCGAATCGGACTCTCCCACAAGTTGCCGGAGTTTCCGGTCGGGTTGTCCGAAACGGGTTGCGATTTCCTCGAGAAGTGTTTGAACAGAGACCCGACACGAAGGTGGAGCTGCGATCGTCTGCTGCAGCATCCATTCCTGGCTTCTGCTGCTCCCGCGCTAGACACGGCCGCCAACTCGTCGCCCCGGTGCGTGCTCGACTGGGTCGACTCGGAGTTCGACGATTTCGAAGACGATCGAAATTACAATTCCGACGGAGGAGGTGATATCTCAGCGAGAGAGAGGATCGGTAAATTGGCGACGAACGGAGGGGCAAATTGGGAATCCGGTGGGTGGGAATGGACGGTGGTGAGGTCATCGATTGGTGGTGGGACTGAGGCGGAATCAGCTGGTGCGAATTGTTGTGGCTACGAGGAAGGGATAAATTCGGAATATTCGGACTTTTCGAGGTCAGAACGGGAAATAGTGGGGACAAGTTCGGAATATTCCGATGCCTTGGGAACAGGTTCGGAGTGGGCGTGTGGTGGCGCCGACGGGGCGCTTTGGTGCGTAGCTGGCTCGAGCTGTCGGGATGGGTTGCACAATGGTGATTTGTTGAACTTGGATAGGCCCAAAATAATTAGTTTTGACAGCTTGTATATTAGTGCATTATTTACATATTCAGTTATATTGATCATGAAGGAATACAATAATATCTTCATTAGCTATTATATTCTTCACCTTCCATTTCTTGTCCTTGCAATAAATGTTCAGTTGTTAAAGTTATTATTTACGAACCAATTAACCAAAGTAACAAGCAGGAGGGAGCTACATACCGTTAATAATAGATATCTCATCTTTTTTTTTTTTTTTTATATCTTTATCTTTACGTGAAATTTGATGAAAAATATCTCATCCTATTATTATTTTTATAAATGTATCTTGAAATATATACTCTCTATTTCAAAATATCCCTTAATTTTTTTAAGCAGTTCAAAAACCCCAAAATATAGTTCAAACAACCTCTATCTCCGCCTATTATTCTAACAGAATCATTGACACGGTTGAAAATTAATTAAAGGTAATTTAATCTGTACAAAAAACTGAAACTTGCCCACCCTATCCCCTTCCCCGATAGCAACACCACCATCCCGCCGGCGAGCCACGCTGCACCTCGACGGCGATAGCCCCTTTTCCGGACACGACCAAGCTCGCTTGTTTCCACTACATTGAAGAGATTTTGAACTCCGACGCTAACTAGCGGAATTAACGGCTGAGCAGCGGCGTCAGATCGTTGACACTCGGAAGCTCCGCCTCCCACTTGAGAAGTCGCTCCTTGTCGCCGCTATTAACACTGCCATCGTACTAGATCCGAGCTTCGGCGAGAGGCGGAATCGTGGGGTGTGCTTCACGGCGTGAGTGGGATCGCGAGGATCGTCGTGCCGGAGTGGGTGATTCTCCGATAGGGGTAGCTGCAGCAAGGCCTAGGTTCGCGAGCGGATGAGGGAGGTGGGGCTTGGGTTGCACGGCGGTGAGGCGGCTGGGTCGCACAGGGATGGGTCGGAGGGCCTTTGAGGGGCAGCAGGGCCTGGGTTCTTTTCATTTTTGTAGATTTGGGTTTTTCTTTTTTTCAAAATCAAAGCCTTTCTCTAGATTTTGAGGTGTTTGAGAGAAACTAAAAATAGACAAACAATAGTCAAAAACATCCTTAACATTGTACATTTCAATAGCTCCGGCGAAGAAGGTCGTTCATCGTCTCTGGTTTCGTGGGTAGACCGTAGAACAGGAGCAAGAGAAGTTTCACTTTTTAGTATAGCGGTGCTCAAAATCCACCATAATTTCTTTTTTTTTTTTTAATTTTTTTTACTTGCCACGTAGGCTTTCTCTTAGTAGTATAATTAGAGGAGTATTTATAAAAATAATTCATTTTGTTTACATAATTTTAGTAGTATATGCTCCGACCTTTTCCGTATTCTTTTTTTGACTTATTTTTCCGTTTTCTTTTTTGTGACTCCTTTTTTTTTTTTTTTTTTTTACTGCGTCCCTAATTATAAGATAGAATGAAAAATACAAGCCGTTAGTAGAAGATACTACTAATTGTTGGGTTGTTGCCAACAACTTGGAAGTGGCTCGACATTTTTGTTAAATTGAGAGCCATTTGGTGGACTGGTGGCGGCAAGGAAGTGACAGTGAGATGATGAGTCTTAACTTGGCTAAATAATTCAAAGCCAATGGAGCAAGTTGTTGATTTTGCAAGCAATAATTATCCAATGCACGAATATAGTAACCAAATAACTTCACCCCCCAATTCAAATGGTTAAAATATCATAAATAGTATTAGAACGAGTACAGTGATATATATAGATATTATGGGGCAATATCTTTTTGTAAGATTCCATGGATTTGTCTACATCCCAATGGTTGATGCGTTGCAAACAAACGACACGAGAAGTGTTTCAATAGGACCTTTTTTTATAAAAGATTAGTTTAGTGGATTAAAAATTGAGAAGGAGAATATCTTTTGGATCATGAAAGTGGGTGATTTTGGTTGTTTCGTTGGGCGTGCCACGGCATGGAGAAGCTTCCCACAAATGTTCCTGACTCACCTGTCAATTACTGTATTTAAAAAAAACAAAAAAATTGGACATGGGTTATGTACCTATTGGCTCTCAAATTAATGAGCTCTAATTCAATTAAGCTGTCGATTTTGGTTACGAATTTCAAGATTATTTAATTAGGAGATTCATGATTTAAATCATAATTTATGATTTATTATAATATTTTTTTTTATAAAAAATACACATAAATTAAAAATAATTCTAATCTTATAATTTTAATCATGAACCAAATATTTTCATTAATTATGGTTGTCTTAAGACTGAGTTTTAGCTTTAGAAGGGTAGGTAGTGCTCAAGCATTACAGTACCAGACAACCGTACTTATCAACATTGTTGCAGATTGTAATTTATATTTACACGTGCAAGTTTTCATTAGGCCTACTTATTTTCAAGGTTCGACTTACATACGATGAGGCCTTACGCATATACTATTATATTGGGAGATGAGTTGTTGTTGTTGTTTTTTCCTCTCTTTAGTGGATATTTAATTCATAAATTTAAAATTATGATTTAAAATAATTCTTATTTTATGTGTATTTTTTATGAATTATAATTTAAAATTAAAGACGATACATAAAACAAATATATTTATACGTTGTTTTTTGTTCAACTTTCAAGTTGTTTGATCAAGCATTTGACGGAATTCAGCTGTGTTGTGTCCTAATACGGTCTGTCTTGTATTTCAATTCACTTAAAATAAAAAAGTTTCGTTCATTCACCCTTCAATTAGGAATGGTTTCCGATTGAATCCTTATTCACCAAAAAAAAAAAAAAAGAAAAAGAATAGTTTCCAAAACAACTTTATCGAAAAACATAAAAACCGTTTTGAAAATGGTACCGAATATATGCGAAATTAACGAATGATTTTAGATGGGAAAAGATAAAAAAAAGGGACAATTTCTTTGGTAATATTCAAATAGGTTTCATACTGTGCAGTTTTATACATACTTTCATTAAAGATCCTATTCCATTATTTTTAATATAGATTTTTACTTTTAATTTAAGAAAATTAATCTGGTGTTCTCTTTTGTTTTGGAAACACTAGTGTTCCATACTTATCAGTCGTCAGATCTATATTATATTTTCAATCTGATTTGACTTTTAACGAGATTTAATACAAATTTAACGACTAATAAGTATAAAACACAAGTGTTCTAAAAAAAAAAACACCATAGAAAGTCTCTTAATTTAATTACATATAATTGATGATAAAAAGAATTCAAAACAAAAAAAAAAATCGCTGAAGGGAAAATAAGACAAGTGTTGCTATTTATCATGCAACTACATGCATCATATAAACAGAACTGTCTGAATTGGAGATGACAATCTTATCTACTGATATGGGTACCCGTGGATACCCACCCCTAATATGATGAATATGGGTAATATTATATGGGAGTGAGAACGGGTATGAGGAAAAAATAAACCAAAAAATTGATTTTTTGCTCTTATGAAATTAATAGATTTTTATATACTTAGAACTGTATTTTGCACTCTAATAATAAAAAAAGTGATTTTTAGTTTTCCCCTCAAACTCCCCTTTATCCTAAAAAAAAAAAAATACAAATCAATTAAAAAAAAACTCTCCAATGTAAAAATTAATTTTCAATAAACTCAAATTTAATATGTTTTTCTAGTAATAAATTATAACAAATTTGCACTATCACCAATTAAACCATAATATTATCTAAAAAACATCATCATCAACTAATAAAATCATCTTCAATAAACAAAACTAAATCGCGCTTCTTATTCTTTATAAAAGAATAAATATATTTTTTCCTAGTTAACAGTGACAAAGCTAAACATTTTTATGAGAGGGCTAATTTTAACTACATAAAAAAACTTAATAAAATTAATTATTAACTTACTACAAATTGTTCTCGATGTTATTTCAAATCTTAAAAAATATTGCACAATAGCCACATTATCAAGGTTATTGAAGATAATTTCACTATAGATAAAGTATCATTAATCAATTGATCAATAATTCGGGTAGCCAATTCTTCATAATATTCATAAAAAAAAACCCTGTATGCAATAGTGGTAACAACAAGTTGTGTTTATATTTGTATCTTCTTTCTTTTCGTTGTCTATTATGTTTGTTGCTTTCTTGATTGGTTGGTATTAAGTTAATGTTAATGTTAGAAGTAGATAAACTAATAGACATATATTATTTATTTTAAAGGCTTTTAAAGTTAAGATTAGTAGTATTTTTTTTAAATAGTATTATTAGAGGTATTGCTTTAAAAAGTAGTATTTTCTAAAACTTTAGAGATTTAAAAATTAAGTTTTTAATTTTTTTAGAGGGAGCTATACCTAATTTGATATATATATGTGTATCCCTTTAAATTAAGCTTATACATGTTTCGTACAGTGTTTAAATCAACCTATTTATTTATCGTGTTGTGCTAGGCCTAACCCATTTAATTTTTATGGCATCAAGCCCAGCCCATAGTCTATTTATTTGTGGGCCGTGCCTTAACGTGCTTGGTCGTGTTTGTGCCTATACATGTGCCTATGTGTTTCTCACACTTTTATCATGTTCTTGATGTGTGTAAATTTACAACAAATACAAGAAAATAAGCATTGAGCATAATGAGAACATTAAACTTAACAAAGGCAAGCACATTATTAATTAAAAAAAATGCCTCATTAAAAACTATATCAAGTAAAACACACTAGGATAAAATATGGGTAAAAAAAAAGTACAATTATAAGTCTTATAAAGGAGTACATAATAAAATTTGTTTTATACTTTTTGTGCATTAGTTGAGCCTTTATTGTGCTTTTAACGTGCTCGTACCTTACTCATGTCGTGCTCCGAGTTCTTAGCATGCTGTGCGTGTTTCGTGCCTAAAATTTACGTCAATTCCCACCCATTTAATATACATGATGGGCTAGATTGCCGTGCCATGTCCATTCCTTAACGTGTTGTGCTGGCCCATTAAGCCCATCTCGTTTGGACATCTCTAATCTATAGATACATATAGGTTAAAAACAAAGAGAGAAAGAGAGAAATATGTCAATACTTGAGATAAATTAAAATTAATAGGTCAATAGTTTACATAAGTTAATAAATAGACCAAATTACTGTTTTCGTCCATAACTTGTCTGGTTATGAACCATAACTTGACAAGTTATTTCTGATTTTTGTTCATAACTTGTTTGGCTATGAACCATAACTTGTCAAGTTTGTCCATAACTTATCTGGTTATGAACCATAACTTGACAAGTTATGGCCTATTAATTTTTATAACTAAAAGTTGACCTATATACTTTATTAAGCTTTTCATATTAACCTATTTTCTACTATTTTCTAAAAACAAATTTGAAAAGTTGAAGGGGACTTAAGCCCCCTAGCCCTTATATGCCCTCGTCCCTACTGGTTAACGTTGTCAGAACATAAATGAGTTGTTTGGTTGATAGATTTGTATTCTAATTTGAATCATGATTTGTAATTTATTACAGTACTTTCTTTTATAAAAAATACACATAAATTGAGAATGATTTTGAATCTTTAAACTAAACGTTTAAAAAGTACGTAGAGAATTGGCAGCAAGGTGGCTCGCTGTGGCAATGGGTCCTCTTTATTTTGATACACGTACACCAGTTTAGCACGAAATTAACCAGTAATAAACATTACATTACACGATATGTCGTTTTCGGACAATTCAGAATGGAACGCGATGTCGTTTTTTATCCTTCGGTCATCTCCTCCTCTGCATTATTGAAAATCGTACACTTGGACGCTATGGAGTTGACCAATATACTTCTTTCATTCTTTTCTTAATTTTTCTGGGAAAAAGGTCCGCAAACTTGCAAGAGAAGAAAAAACAGAAAACAGCACGCGGAAAATACTTCCCTCTTCTCTCTCCCCACTTGGAAACCCAAATTTTCTCACCAGTGCTACAATTTTCCACGCCAGTCGCTTCTCCTTCGTTGAAGCTCCGATTCAGCAACCATGGCCGCTGCAAATGCTCCTATCACAATGAGAGAGACCCTAACGGTACGTTTCTTCAAATTGAAGCTAATTTCCTCTCCGTTTTTCCTCGGCATTTCCTCTTCAATTTCTCTTCGTCCTCCGATTCCTCACTAGACAATCATTTCGCAGTGTTTCTGGCTTTCTACGTTCTCCATTTCGTGAATTGCACTTGTCTGTCGCAATGTTTAGGGTTTCTGTGCTCGGTTTGAGTATTCGAGTGTTTTCATGGCGTTTTCTGTTGGTTTTGGGTGTTTTTGTTGTTGTAGTTGGCCAGTATTGGAATAAATACCCAATTCATTACGTTTACGCATGTGACGATGGAATCGGACAAGTTCATTTGCGTTAGAGAAACTGCGCCTCAGAATAGCATTGTGATCGTGGACATGAACGCGCCTAACCAGCCCCTGAGACGCCCAATTACTGCCGATTTGGCGTTGATGAACCCTAACTCCAGAATTCTTGCTCTCAAAGGTAGGATTTTGTTTAGATCGTATTAGAATCTCACGTTGGCTGAAACTTAATAAGGTGAGGATAATCCTTCTCTAATAAGTCGGTTTTGTTAGGTTGAGTTAAGCTCAATATTCTTTGATTTCTATAAAATAGTATCAGAGCAGATCCAGTTTTGTAATGTTAGGTCCTCCAATATCGACTTATTCGCAGTAGTTTGGTATGGTCCACGCTGTGTGTGAAGGGGCGTATTAGAATCGCACATTAATTAGAGATATTGGCATGATCCACTCCTCCCTTAACAATCCGGTTTTACTATGTTGAGTTAGGTCAAATATCATTTGATTTATGTAAAAATACGCGTGATATTGCAGCATTTTGTCACAGCACCGAATGTAATATGTCCAATGGGATTGTCCTGCCGTAATACAGTTCACTTTTCATGGATTATGGCGTTTGTAAATTTAATTTAATATGCTATTGTTTATTATTTTGCTTCATTTGTTAAGTAATTATATGTTGAAGATGTTGGCTAGTTCAGTAGGTAAAGTCACTTGGCCTCAAATTGAAAGACTTGAAAGTTGTGATCAAACTGTAGGAATGGTTGTGGGTAAGGGAGAGAGTTTCCTTCTGTTGTGCAGTCCACCAATAGAAAATTAAAGTCACCTTGTTTAGCGAATTAACTTTTAGATTTTTTTTTTGAATTTTATACACACAAATATCAATAGCCTGCAATAGCTTGTCATTAACATCGATGATCTTCAGTATAGGCCTTTTATTCCTTGAACTGCTACTTTATCAATTTAAAATTTTCCTGCTTAATAATGCTGTTATATATTATCTTTTATTTTTAATGGATTTCTTAATTTTCTTCTCTTGGTTTATGCTGTTGATCGGGTTTAGCAGTCTTGTCGACATGGAAAATTTTGGATTTTAACTATTCGTCATTGAGATTTAAAACTATTCATCATTGAGATGTAGTCAATTTCTTCAGAAACTTGATTAGCTTGCTTGTACCAGAACTGGAATGTGGAAACCTGAAATAGGAACTAGGATTATTTGCATTGTCTCATAGTAACTAAAATCTGTTATTCTGTTCCTCAATCCTCACCTAGCTAATCGATAAATATATTTTGTTCGTAGCTCAAGTTCAGGGAACTACTCAGGATCATTTACAAATATTTAACATTGAATCAAAGACAAAGATAAAATCACATCAGATGCCCGAACAGGTGATTTATTCCTTCCAAGGGCATTCAAGTTATCGATACAATGTTTTGACTTTCTTTTATTGCTATAGCCTATATGATGGTTTGTCTTCAAACAATATTGTTAGTCATCAAACTTTTATATTTTTAGGTTGTCTTTTGTAAGTGGATAACGCCAAAAATACTGGGCCTGGTAACACAAACCTCAGTATATCATTGGTCAATTGAAGGTAAGATACCTTTTGCATTCTCCTAACATTAGCAATTGTCTGGTTGCTTTTTTGTTTACTTCAACAGCTTATGATTCCCCACTTGTTTCTTTATTTTGCTTCATGCAATTTTCTAAGAGTAATTTATTATGTGTTTAGGTGATTCTGAGCCTGTGAAAGTATTTGAGCGGACAGCCAATCTGGAAAATAATCAAATAATCAACTACCGTTGTGATCCTACTGAAAAGTGGTTGGTTTTAATCGGGATTGCTCCTGGCTCACCTGAGGTCAGTTGAGTGGTTACCTTTTGATTTTAAATGTGTCTCATTTTTCACTCTAATCCTGTTGGTGGTTCTGGTAGGGTATGGATATAATGCTTATTAGGGGATGTTAGTCCTCCACTGAAGTTTGTCTACTCCAGGAAACGCAAGGGGATGGAGAGTGGGAATAGAGGATGTGTTAGGGGGGAAAATGTAAATTCGGGAACTAGGAGTTGACGTGGAGAAGTTTGTTAGAAGGATAGTAGGAGTGAGGGAATTTAAGGGTGTACGGGGACAGGAGGAAGGGCAGTAAGTTATTCTAGAGTGCGTGAGCATTGGGAGGGTGGGACCTCAAAATTCCCCAGGCCTTCCTCTGCCATTAACATTTTTCTTCTTTTGAAATTGCCTAGTTGTAATCAGCCATGGCCACCGAGTTTATGGTGGATTGTTAGTGAATAAAAGGAGCAGACGCCCCCTTTGCGCTGTTATTTGCCAATCTTTTTCTCTTTTCTTTCGCGGATATTCTCTCTAACACGCAGGACTCTAACAAACTGGTATCAGAGCCGGCGATCATGGCGGCACCGCCGGGAGAACGGCAAGCAATCGAGCGTGTAGCGAGTATGGATCGGAGACTAAACCACATGAATGAGACGGTTTAGCTTCTGGGGGCGCTGGTTGATCCCGTACCGCGACAGCAGGAAGAGGTTACAGCGTTAGGAGAACACATGGTTCATGGTTCCGTTCAGCGGATGGAGACCTTACTGGCTCGGCAGTTTGGAGCACCCAATCCCGGGGTCACCGTCGAGGGCGGCGGACGAAATTTCGAGCAGGGTCGATGCCAGCGACGAGACTCCCCTGAGCGGCCACGAGCTCGCGACCACCGTGGTAGGAAGCTGGAACTCCCAATTTTTTCCGGTGAAGACCCTTACGGGTGGCTATTCCGAGTTGAGCGGTTCTTCGCCGTCAACGAAGAAATGGTGCTCGCAGCGTCCATTTGCATGGAAGGGAGGGCCTTGGGCTGGTTCCAGTGGGTGGAGGCCCAGGAACCATTCATGGGATGGAGGGACCTTCGGACGGCCATTCTCCATCGCTTCAGCCGGTTCGGGGAAGGGGACCCTACTGAGAGGCTGATGGCACTCCGGCAGAGCGGAACGGTAGCCGAGTTCCGAGATTCTTTTGAAGCGTTGGCGGTGCCGATGAGGGGCATTCCAGAATCGGTGTTCAAGGGAGCATTTCTCAACGGACTTCGAGAGGACATCAAGGCAGAGGTGAAATTACACAGGCCCATTAACTTGCAAGAAGTCATGGACTTGGCCCAACAAATTTAGGCCCGGGATGATGCTGTGGAAAGGATGAAGAAGCTGAGATTGGGCCGGGGAAATAAGGGGGAGTACTTGGGCCGGCCAAGCTCAGGATGGCTGAACCCCAGTTCCTCTTTGGGCCCAGCAGAGAACCCCCTTCGATCCAATACCTACAGAGAGGGTGCCACGGCAGCCAAGGGGCGCACGTGGTCTGCTCCTTCGTCGCAGCACGCACCGAGTGGGGACTCCAAGTTCCGCCGCTTATCTGAAGAGGAAGTTCAGTAGAGGAGAGCTAAGGGCCTATGCTTCCGGTGCGACGAGCGTTTCAGTCCAGGACACCGCTGCAAGAACCGGCAGCTTCAAGTGCTCCTGGTGGCGGAGGATGGGACGGAGGACGAGGAGTCCAGTGAGGAGGATGATTCGACACTGGTGCAAGGGGGTGGGGTGACAACCGAAGCAGCGGCGGTGTCTCTGAACTCGATGCGCGAATTGGTGTCCTCTAAGACCATGAAGCTGCGGGGCTTCTTGGGTTCGCGGGAGGTCATCATCTTAATTGACAGCGGCGCCTCCCACAGTTTTATATCCTTGTCGTTGGTGGACGAATTGGCCATACCCACTGAAAAGACACCCAGCCATGAGATTCAAGTGGGCAATGGAAGGACCTTTAGACAACAGGGGTGCTGTCGGAATGTAAGGCTGGAAATTCAAGGGCATGAATTGGTCGAGAATTTTTTTCCGTTTGAGTTAGGGAGCGCCGATGTCATCTTGGGCGTCACGTGGCTGGGCACGTTGGGCGAAGTCCAGGCCAACTGGTCGGAATTCACGATGAAGTTTAAAAAAGGGAGGGACTGGGTTCACTGGAAGGGCGATCCCGCCTTGTGCGTAACACCGGTAAGTTTTCGATCCTTGACTCGTTCATTTCATTCTACCGGGGTGGGGTTGCTGTTAGAACTACAATCCAGTTTGGCTGAAGAATGGGCTGCGGAGGAAGAGCCTCCGGAACTACGGGCGGTACTCGCCTGTTTTGAGGCAGTGTTTGGGGTTTCAACCTGGCTTCCGCCACAGCGTGCACACGACCACCGTATTGTCCTCAAGGATCAGGCCGCACCGCCAAATATCCGTCCCTATCGATACCCGCAAATACAGAAGGCGGAGGTGGAAAAGTTGATAGATGAGATGTTGGCGGCAGGAATAGTTCATCCAAGCTGCAGCCCATACTCCAGTCCGGTGTTGTTGGTCAGAAAAAAAGATGGGAGTTGGCGTTTTTGTGTTGATTACCGCGCCCTTAACCAGGTTACAATCCTGGATAGATTTCCAATTCCGTTAATAGACGAACTAATGGATGAGTTGCACGGGGCTAAAATATTTTCCAAGTTAGACCTACGGGCTGGCTACCACCAGATACGGGTTCGCGACTGTGATGTGGAAAAAACGGCATTCAGGACTCACGAGGGGCATTACGAGTTCCTCGTCATGCCCTTCGGCCTCACGAACGCTCCTGCCACATTTCAAGCCCTCATGAACTCGGTTTTCCGGCCCTACCTCCGCCGATTCGTTTTGGTTTTTTTTGATGACATTCTTGTCTACAGTAAGAGTTGGGAGGAACACCAAGATCATTTGTCCGCAGTCTTGGAAGTCCTCGAGCGGGAACAGCTGTTTGCCAATCGCAAAAAGTGTGCCTTTGGCCGTCCGAGCTTGGAATACTTGGGGCACATCATCTCGGAAGAAGGAGTGGCAGCCGACCCTTCAAAAATCCAGGCCATAAGCACTTGGCCACCCCCTCGGACAATACGTGAACTTCGCGGATTCCTCGGCTTAGCGGGGTATTACCGTAGATTTGTGGTAGGGTTTGGAGAGCTAGCGCGTCCGCTGACTACATTGCTGAAGAGGGTGCCTTTAAATGGTAGGCGGAGGAAGACCAGGCGTTTGCCACACTAAAGGAGGCCATGTCATCCCTTCCGGTGTTGGCCATGCCCGATTTCTCAAAAGAATTTGTGGTAGAGACGGATGCATCGGGCTATGGAGTGGGCGCCGTTCTTATGCAAGAGGGCCGCCCTTTGGCTTATTTCAGTAAGGTAATGACTTCCACTTTCTGTTTAAAATCGGCTTACGAAAGGGAACTGATGGCCGTGGTGTTAGCCATACAAAAGTGGCGCCATTTTCTTCTTGGAAGGCACTTTGTGGTGAGAAGTGACCAGCAAAGCTTACGATACTTGTTGGACCAGCGACTACTTCCTCCGGAGCAACTTAGATGGATTACCAAAATCTTGGGATATGACTTTGAGGTGCAGTACAAGCAGGGGGCTGCCAACCAGGTAGCTGATGCCCTCTCCCGCCGGGATGCGGAGGACCAACCGAGCTTATCGGCTCTCTCTCTGCCTCAGTTGCTGGATTTCTCTGAAGTTCAGCGGGGACAAAAGGTTGACGTTTCTCTAGCCGACCTCATGACGCGGTTGCAGACCAACCAGGACGTTCCGACAGGCTACAAGCTGCACAATGGGACCCTTTTCTTCAAAGATAGGTTGGATTTGCCAGACTCCCCGTGGATTGGTACGGTCTTGCACGAGCTTCACAACTCGGTGATCGGCGGGCATTCGGGGTTCTATAGGACGTATAAGCGGATAGCGGCCAGTGTGTATTGGAAGGGCATGAAGCAAGCCATTCGGACATACGTCGCACAATGTGAAATTTGCCAACATGCCAAGTACGAGACCCTGTCCCCCGCAGGCTTGTTGCAGCCTCTCCCCATCCCCGACAAGGTTTGGGACGATGTCTCTATGGACTTCATTGGTGGCCTGCCTAAGTCCCGCGGCATAGACACGGTCTTGGTGGTGGTTGACCGTCTAACCAAATACGCCCATTTCTGCCCCCTCGCACATCCATACACGGCTCGCCAAGTGGCGGAATTGTTTGCAGGGAGGTGGTTCGGCTCCATGGGTTCCCTCGCTCCATTGTGAGTGATCGTGACTCCCTCTTCATGAGTGGCTTCTGGCGAGAAATGTTCAGGATGCAGGGCACCAAGTTACACATGAGCACCGCCTACCACCCGCAATCCGATGGCCAAACCGAGGTAGTTAATCGCTGCCTGGAAACCTATATGTGGTGTTTCGCCTGTGACAAACCGCGACAGTGGCTGTCTTTTTTACCTTGGGCAGAATATTGGTTTAATACTACTTATAACGCTTCCTCCAAGTTTACTCCGTTTGAACTGGTGTATGGACGCCTCCCTCCGGTACTTTTATCGTTTTCAAGATACTCCTTCCGCGGTTGCAGATGTGGAAGAGAAGCTGCTACTCCTCAACCAGATGCTAGACACCCTCAAGGATCACTTATCGTTGGCTCAGCAGCGCATGAAGAAGTATGCGGATGCGCATCGTCGTGAGGTGACCTTTGCTCTAGGGGATCTAGTGCTCTTGAAGCTACGGCCTTACTTTATGAAGTCCCTGGCCCGACGTCCACATGAGAAGCTGGGGCCACGTTTTTATGGACCGTTTAGGGTACTCGAGCGCCTGGGTTCGGTGGCCTATCGACTGTAGCTGCCGCCCACAACACGTATCCACCCTGTCTTTCACGTGTCGCAGCTGAAACGTTACCAAGGGGCAGAGTTTAAAGGGCAGCCCTTGCCACCGCAGCTCACCGAGGACCTCGAGTTGCAAGTCGAGCCAGTGGAAATCCTGAGCTCTCGCTCTGTGCAGGTGGGTGGCCATACAGTGGTGGAGGTTCTGGTCTAGAAGCGACTTGGGAACCATTGGCCACCATCCAGGAACAGTTCCCTGCCTTCAACCTTGGGGACAAGGTTGGTCTTGAAGGGGGG